ATTGTTGGTCGTGAGTAGATAAGGAGTTAGCAAGTCTTATTGTTGGTTGTGAGTGGATAAGGAGTTAGCAAGTCTTATTGTTGGTCGTGAGTGGATCCCCAAGGTAGCCAGGATATCTCTCTAATTTGCAAGTTAGGTGAAGGGAGTCTTAAGTCTTCAGATTGTCTAACAATGTTTGGTGGTTTGTGGATATACGCTTGAGGCCCAAGAGCCCTTAAGTGGTAAATTTGATTTAAGTGGTAAGTTTTAAGCTGTGGCTGGTAGGGTCAAGGAATCATGGCTGTTGTCAGCCTTTGCCTTGGGTAAGGACCACGAGGGTTTATCTGGTAGGATCATGTAGTTCAGGGGGTAGGACAGAGTTGAGGTGTCAGAGGAACTTAGATCAGCGTTTTTCAAACTTGAAGGTGTGTGGACTGCAAATCCCAGAATTCACCAGGCAATCGGTTTGGGGAATCCTGGGTGTTGAAATCCACACATCTTGCTAAGGGTGGGAAACCCTGATCTAAGAGGGTCATCTATACCTACCACCAAGTAGGTTGGACTTGCTTTCAGAAAGCTAATTGGCTTTTAGAAGGGTGGACTTCAACTCTCAGAATTATGGGAATTGGAGTCCTCCAGAGTGGAAGGCACTAGATGGTCCCCACTCAACTCCCAGAATTCTGCTGGAGGAGTTAAGAATTTTGGGAGCTGTAGTCCATCCATTGAAAGGTACAACTTTCAAAGGAAGGGATTTTAGCTCCCAGAATCCTTAGCAATGGAGGCTAGAGAAGCTTAAGATGTCCCCTTTCTCCCCAAGACACCAGATAGCCGCAATTCAGTTCCCAGCGTTCTCCATTCACCATTCTTTGGAGATGAGAGCTCCATGCCTTCACTTGGTGGTGGCCCCCAATTCTTCTCAGTTCTGTGTTCAGAAATCTGGGACTTGGGACAAGTGCCAGGCCCTGCAGGTGTTGGGTCTCCAATTCTTCTGGATTCTGTGTTGAGTTCTTCACACAGAGGGCAGAATCCTATCCATAGGATGCCCTAGAGCAGAGGTCTCCAACCTTGGCCACTTTAAGACTTATGGACTTCAACTCCCAGAATTCCTCAGCCAGCAAAGGCTGAGAATTCCTGAGCTAACATGAATTCTGGGAGTTGAAGTCCACAAGTCTTAAAGCTGTCAAGTTTGAAGAGCCGTGATATAGAGGATAGAGAGATGATATATAGATGATTGATAGGTGATAGAGATAGAGCAAGGGTCTTCAAACTTGGCAAGTTTAAGACTTGTGGACTTCAACCCCCAGAATGCCTGAGCTAACACAACTGGAGGAGGAATTCTGGGAGTCCAGAAAGTCTTAAAGCTGTCAAGTTTGAAGACCCCCATTTTAGGGTCTCCAGTGGTTCTTGGCCTTGGCAAACTTAGGTGGGTGGACTTCAGCTCTAGTTAGAAGTCTGCACAACTTGTCAAAGTTGAAACCTTTTTATGTGTAAGGTCTTCCTTGTGCTTCATTGGGTGTCATGCATGCTCCCTCCCCCAATCTTCCCAGCACCTAGGCAGGTGAACCAGAAAGCCCAAGTGTGTCAAGTCTGCAGTTCCTCCCCTTGTTCTAAGCAGGTGTGCACAATTTATTCCAAATCTTGGAGTTAATTTCAAATAATACACATTTGTGCATGCCTACTTATAGCAATGGGTGCATAGAGAAAATCTCTGTGCATGGTGGGTCACCCTCAGGAGGGGGGAGAAAGGCCAGGAGCCAGCCATGGCATCAGGGAGGCTGGCAGGGAGGCCCTAGGGAGGTCTGGGGCATCCAAGCCCCCCAGGGCAGCCCTGGGCACCCCCAGAGCCTCTCTTGCCAGCTTGTCTTGTGCCATGGTTGAAGCTGAGGGTTGGTGGGGACTGGGGGAGGCCGAGAGATGGGGCTGGGGTGCAGGTGGGCTGGGCAGAGAGCGGCTGCCCAATGCCCTTGGCTCAGAGGGTGGCAGTTTGGCCACTCCAAGCCAAGGGACATTGGGCAACCATTCTCTGGCCCATCACACCCACCCATGTCCCATGGGCCTCCCTCAGCCCCCATCAATGCCTTTGGCTTCAATCCTGGCCTAAAAGGGGCCTGGGGGGGTCAGGGGGGTCCTGGGAGGAGGGGGGAGCACATACCCCCCTCTTCCTAGGGCCCCCCTCCCCCTGGGCCCCCAAGCCAGGACTGAAGCCAAAGGTAGGGG